GACACTTGGGCTGTTTCCAGATCTTAGCTATTGTAAATAGTGCTGCTATGAACATGGGGGTACATATATTCTTCCTGATTGGTGTTTCAGGCTTCTTAGGGTATATTCCTAGCAGTGGGATCACTGGGTCAAATGGACGTTCAATTTTTAGTTTTTTGAGGTAACACCATATTGTTTTCCATAGTGGCTGCACCAGTCTGCATTCCTACCAGCAGTGTATTAGAGTCCCCTTTTCTCCACACCCTCGCCAACACTTGTTGTTTGATGATTTGTTGATGGCGGCCATTCTGACAGGTGTGAGGTGATACCTCATTGTTGTATTAATTTGCATCTCTCTGATGATTAGTGATGTTGAGCATTTCTTCATATGTCTTTTGGCCATTTGTATGTCCTGTTTGGAGAGGTGTCTATTCAGCTCCTCTGCCCATTTTTTAATTGGGTTCTTTGTCTTCCTTTTGTGGAGTTGTATGAGCACTCTATATATATTGGAAATTAACCCCTTATCTGATACATCATTGGCAATGATGTTCTCCCATACAGCAATTTTCAATTTTTTGAGGTAACAACATATTGTTTTTCCATAGTGGCTGCACCAGTCTGCATTCCCACCAGCAGTGTACTAGAGTCCCCTTTTCTCCACACCCTCTCCAACACTTGTTTGATGATTTGTTGATGGCAGCCATTCTGACAGGTGTGAGGCAATACCTCATTGTTGTGTTAATTTGCATCTCTCTAATGATTAGTGATGTTGAGCATTTTTTCATGTGTCTTTTGGTCATTTGTATGTCCTGTTTGGAGAGGTGTCTATTTAGGTCGTCTGCTCATTTTTTAATTTGGTTCTTTGTCTTCCTTTTGTTGATTTGTATGGGTACTCTATATATTTTGGAATTTAACTCCTTATCTGATGTATCATTGGCAATTATGCTGTCCCATATAGTGAGTTCCCTTTCCATTTTGATGGTTGTTTCTTTTGCCATGCAGAAGCTTTTTAGTTTGACGTAGTCCCATGTGTTCATTTCTCCCCGTTTCTCTTGCCTTAGGTAATGTATCAGTGAAAATTCTGCTGTGTAAGATGTCTGAAATTTTGTTGCCTACATTTTCTTGTAGGATTTTCATAGATTAATGAGTCACATTTAAGTTTTTTCTCCATTTTGAGTTTATTCTTGTGTATGGTATAAGTTGGTGGTATAGCTTCATTTTTTTTGCATGTAGCTGTGCAATTTTTCCAACACCATTGATTGAAGAGGCTGTCTTTACTCCACTGTATGCTCTTGCCACCTTTGTCAAATATTAATTGGCCATATTGTCTTGAGTCAACTTCTGGGTTCTCTGTTCTGTTCTATTGATCTATCTGCCTGTTCTTGTGCAAGTATTGATTTGATTACAGTGGCTTTGTAGTATAACCTGATATCTGGTATTGTGATCCCTCCTAGTTTGTTCTTCTTTTTCAAGATTGCTGTGGCTATTCGGAGTCTTTTTTTTTTTTTTTTTTTTGGTTCTATATAGACTTTTGGAGTATTTGTTCTAGTTCTGTGAAATATGTCGTTGGTATTTTGATGGGGATTACACTGAATCTATAGATTGCTTTGGGTAATATGGACATTTTAATGATGTTAATTCTTCCAATCCATGAACAAAGTATATGCTTCCATGTTTTTATATCTTCTTCTATTTCTTTTTTCAATGACCTGCAGTTTTCTGTGAAGAGTTTCTTTACTGCTTTGGTAAGTTTATTCCTAGATATGTTAATTTTTTTGCTGCGAAGTTAAATGGGATTGTTGTTTTTAGTTTGTCTTTCTGCGACTTCATCATTGGTGTACAAGAATGCCGTCGATTTCTTGACGTTAATTTTGTATCCTGCTACTTTGCCAAATTCATTTATTAAGTCTAGTAGATTTTTGATGCAGTCTTTAGGGTTTTCTATGTACAATGATGTCATGTCATCTACAAATAAAGACAGTTTCACTTTCTCCTTTCCAATTTGGATCCCCTTTTTCTTCATGTCTAATTGCTGTAGCTAAGACTTGCAGTACTATGTTAAATAAGAGTGGTGAAAGTGTGCATCCCTGTCTTATTCCTGTTCTTAAGGGAAATGCTTTTAGTTTTAGCCCATTGAGTATGATATTGGCTGTAGGTTTTTCATATATGGCCTTTATAATGCAAGATACGATCTCTCTATTCTCACATTGCTGAGCATTTTTATCAGAAATGGGTGCAGGATGTTGTCAAATGCTTGTTCAGCATCTATTGATAAGATCATATGGTTTTAATATTTCATTTTGTTTAGGTGGTGTATCCCGTGTATTGATTTGCAAATATTATACCATCCTTGCATGCCTGGGATGAATCCCACTTGGTCATGATGAATACTTGTTTTGATGTATTGCTAGATCTGATTTGCTTATATTTTGTTAAGGATTTTGGCAGACACCATCTGTTTTAATAGCCCAGGTCTGCTATAACAAAGTATCGCAATGTGGATGGATAAAAACAATAATTTATTCTCACAGTTCTGAAGACTAGATGTCTGAAATAAAAATGTTAGGATTATGCTCCCTCCTAAGGCTCCAGGAAAGATTCTTTCCTTGTCTTCTTAACTTCTGGTGGTTGCTGGCTATTTTTCCCCTCTAACCAATTCACCGTCAGTGATGTGTAGTTGCCATCACTCCAATATCCACTTCTGTCATCATATATATGGCCTTCTTCTTCATGTGTCTCCTCTGGTCATTAAATCTCTCTCCCCATATAAAAACACCAATCATTAGACCTTGGGCCCTCCTCAATCCAGTATGACTGTCTCTTTACTCGATTACATCTGTAAAAACCCTATTTCCAAATGTCACATTTGTAGGTAATGGAGGTTAGAACTTCCATCATATCTCCCTAGGGAACATAACTCAACCCATACAACCATCACCAAAGTCAAGATCATAAATATATTCATCTCCACCAAAAGTTTCCTAATGCCCTGACAGAGATGGTGCCCAATGCAGACAGCAGGACAAATAAATACCCTGACTTCTCCCTTCTTCCTGTTTCTAATCCCCTGCCAGTACCTGGAAGTCAGAGATCAATCAGGACTAGGAAATGTCTTCTGCAGAGTCCATTCCTTGTGGTGAAGAGCAGAGTAGGAGAAGCAGGAGACTGGACCCCATAGCAGATAGGCCAATGTCTAACCCAGATTGCTTTCAGTTGAAGTTATAGCAGGAGGTGTGCTGGATCAAAGAAGTTGAGAGTATTTGCAAAGTGTCTTTGCATGATTCTAATTTTGATCTGAACAAGGAAGTAAAGGCCAGAGGGAGCTGCTACAGAACCTATATTCAATTGGATATTTGGGGAAGTTTCCTTATGCCTCTGCTTCCTAAACAGGTATGTATTTACCTCCAGAAGTTCCCCTGGATAAACTTGGCACATCCTACAGGATGGCCATTTTTGGGAGAGGAAGGGAAATTTGGGTGAAAACATTTTGATTTTTCTTATCTTAAATAGGTGTTGTGACATACCTGTGTAGATGATGTCTCTTTTATATTAAAATAAGATGAACTTTTTCTGTCTTTTTCACTGTTATATCCCTCACACTTAGGACAGAGCCTAAAACCTAGTATTCCATAAATATTTGTGGAATGAATGAATAAATGAATATACTAAAGAGAAGAATGCAAAATGTCCATGGATTATCTGGATAAAATGAGAAATTTCAGAAAAATGTCTTTGAGCTCCTGTCCACACTCCGAGGGGATGAGAGTCATCATCATCATCTACCCGTAGGGACATTTGGGCGAGAAGCTTTGACTTAAGCTAACTATGCTCTTCTCCTAGGCAAGAGATTGCGAAGAACTTCCATCTACCTCCCCAACCAGTTTTCCCACTAGGTGTTGCTTGCATTTTTACCACGGCGGCTACCATACACCCTTGACTTCTGCGGCTCCATTACTCACACTGACATCAGTCTCCCCTTTGTATGGGGTCTCCTTTTCTTCATTGAATTGGCTGGCCCCTTCCCTCTCTCCCTGCTGGTTTCTGTTAATCTCCAGAACTGGCAACTCTGAGGATACAGCTCATAAATTGAGCAACAACCCCAATCCACCCAAAGGGGGGGGGGGAGGATACTCTTTCTATATATCTCCTAAGTCTCTATTCCCTGGAGAAAGACTCTATTGGTATTTCCAAAATCTTAAAAGGTTAACAGCTCCATAGACTTAGGGGTCCTGCTGACCTGGGTTGCTATTCCTGCATACAACCTGCTCAGAACCACAATGTTCTCATCTATAAAATGGGATGCTTCCCTTTACAGAGCTGTTGTGAGGAGGTGACAGAATGCACTGCAAGTTTTCAGCACGGTGCCTGGGACATGGCAAGCTCTCAATGTTGGCACTCTTTAACTCTGACATTTCTTCTATGAAGAGACAAGGTCTAATTTCCTTCCCTTAAATATGGGCCAGCCTTAGTGAGGCATCTAGTGAACAGAGTGTAGATGTAGTGATGCCACCTGGCTTCTGAGGCTGGGGAATGAAAGGTGATACAGCACTGGCTCGCTCTCATTCTCTCTCTCTCTCTCTCTCTCTCTCTCTCTCCCTCTCTCCATTTGCTCTTAGAACCAGGTCACCATGGTAAGAAGTCCAGTCACATACAGGGGCCATTTATATGTGTTATGGCCAAAATTTCAACTTAAGTTGATCTAGCATCAACAGCCAGACATGTGGGTGAACAGGCCTTCCAGATGATTCCAACCCCACCCATGGTCTGACTTGAACCACATGAGGGACCTCCAGTGAGAACTGCCCAGCTGAGCCCAGTCAAACCTCAGCACCAAGCGAGATAACAGTAATAACAGATAACAGATTCTTGTTTTGTGCCACTAAGTGCCACTAAGTTTGGGGTGGCTTGTTACTCAGCAATAGATAAACTGAACAATTAGAAAACAAAACCCCAAATTGTGATGGTAAATTCACCATCTACAATCTCAGACCTCGTGTCCAGAGGCAGCGAGATCTACTTACAGAGCAGGGAAGTTTGAAAGGCTTGGTGGACGTGGTGAAACAGGCATTGTGAATGGGGTCTGGGTTTCCGCCCTCATTCCATTGAGCCAGGAGCGCCTCCCGGTAAATGGTAACCCCTGCTACTCCCAGCGCATCCTCTACTGCGCTTTCCACTGAGTAGTTGTTGATGCAGGTGATGATGGAGGTGGGCGGGGGCTGCACCAGGTGGATGTTGGAGCCTTTGACGCCAAGGTTTAAGAGCGTCTCCACTGTGGTGTAAGTGTCAATTGTATCCCCATAGACAATGACATTCCCTAGAAAAGAGGGAAAATGCTAAGATATACAGTTAAAAACAACAACAACCTTATTAGTCAAATGCTAATAATGCTGAATTGCTCTCTGTAACCCTCTACTTTTTCAGCTGCTGGAAGCCAGTGGTGTTACCTAGCAACAGCAACCAAGATAATTTAGTAAAGAATTGGCACAAAATATCCCACAAAGTAGTCAAGTACTTTTAACTCAGAAGTAGGACGTTCATTTATGTTCCTATGATTTGAAAGTTGAAATTATGCTAAATGAAACTGTCTAGAATAAAACCTTCTATCTTGTTTTGTTCCCTCTTTTTCACTCTTATTAAGGGAAAAAAATTACTAAAGTTTTCAATACACACAAATTCTTCCTAAGATGAAAAGGACAATGGTAAAAAAAAAAAAAAAAAATTCATGCACATGATGGTGAAGATATTTTAATATTTAAATATTGAACCTTGTTAATTTCAAGGAAATTTTTCCTTTTTTGAGAACTAAAGACTAAAACATTTGGCTTTCCAACAGATGATTTTTATAAAGATTCAAATTCTGATTTTTAGAATTTACTGTGTCAAGACCTAGCAAAAGGGACCAAAGTGTATTGTTTTGGTAAGTAAAAATGAAATCACTGTCATCATGGAAGATTTTTCCTGTGTAAGAGCATTTTAATAGTAACTAGTTATACTGTTTATTTATATTTCTTAAAAATACTACAAAAGTAATTAGATATGCTCTTCTACTGTTATATGATCAAAGATACAATTAAATGAGTGAAATGTATTATGTGCTATTTACATGTTATTTTTGACATTGAATTGGTATTTTTACCTTTTCACAAAGAAAGAAACTGCTGTAGACTCGCTTTTCAGGCAAGCTGTAACAATTTACTACAAAATGATAGATTCATTGAATCTCTTTTTTTTCTTGTTTACAAAATGATACGAGAAGAAATTTTATGAAGCAAAATAAATGGCAAGTGTATTTATTCAATTAGGTTAACTAAATTACCCCCAAATCTATTTTGATCCAAAATTGAAATAAAGGTGTAATGGCTTATCTTATTTGCTTAGAAAAAAATAAACTAGAATAACTTTCAGATTGCTTGTCTGAGAGTAACAGCATCTAGAAAGTTCTCCCATACTTCCTGTTGTTCAAATATGGAATACCAGGAGGGACAGGGTCCTTCCTTCTTGCTTTCACTAGGAGCCTCCAGTTTTGTGGCTATTCCCTCTAACACGACATTCATTAGCTAGTTGCATTTTCCTTGGCTGAAAGTGCCAATATTTTGCTTAAATTATTGAGGTTCCCACCTGCTGTGAAACAGGAATCCTGTTGTCTGGCACGAAAAAGAATCAGCCTGTGAGAAAAGCCAAAACTTTAACAGCAAACTGTCAAAGGTTTGAGGTCTTCTGCACTTTGAAAATATGTATGCCAAAACAATATTCATTTTTAGTGAAACAAATTTAAGTGTTTAGGCCCTACGCAAGTCACAGTTTAATATTTTTTCCAATCTCCTCCATGTTAGCTTTTAGTAACTATATTGTGAGATGAGCTTTTTCATTATAGACTCATGGAAACCCAGGCAATGCATTGTTCCTGGGGTTTGGAAAGCTGTACTATCTGCCCACAGATTGCAGGCAGCTGGAGAAGATGATGCTTTTCAATTCGAAAGGTAATACATTTTATAAAACCTCTAATGTTTAAGTTAGATGTGTATTTATATTCTAACTTCTAAGTATTTTTGTCTACCTTTAAGTTTATTGTAAAACAACTCCTCCACCCCACATATGAGGCTTTGGTCATCATAATAGTCAAATATTGTCACAATAATGCTGCATAACAAACTACCCCCAAAACTCAATGTCAAATAACAACAAGCAATTATTGTAAACAGGCTCACACATTTATGGGCTGGCTGATGTCAGCTGATCTGGCTCCAAATTGTGATTGGAGTCAAGTTTGCACAATGTGTCTTTCATCCTCAATGGACCAATAGATACTTGAGGCATATTCTGATTACAGAGAAATCCAGAAGCACAGGACGGTAAGCACAACCATTCAAGGACTCTTCAAGCCTCCTCACATTACATCCTGTAATGTTCTACAGTGATACCTCGGTTCTCGAACGCCTTGACTTTCGACCAAATCGGTATTCGACCAGGAGATGCGAGAAACTTTTGTCTTGGAATCCGAACAAATATTTGGAACTCGAACTTCCGAGATGAGCCAAGTTGAGCCGAATGGCGTTCATTCGGCCCAGCGCGCCTTGTTTGCGTCATCAGTGTGAGTGCAGAGAGAGAGTCATGCTTTGTGGAGAGAGTCACGCTTTACACTGAATTTAACCCTTAGACATACTGTACACTTTTATTTCTTGTTGAGACTTATGTTTTTCTACATATTATATACAAATTAGGCCAGTAAATAGGCATTTTCTGGGGCTTGGAACGAATTAATCCAGTTTCCATTATTTCCTATTGGGTTTCATTGCTTCGGTTCTCGAACAATTTGGTTCTCGACCGTCCTCCTGGAACGAATTATGTTCGAGAACCGAGGTATCACTGTGTATTTACCAAAGCAAGTCACATGGTCATGCCCATAGTCAAGGAGGCAGGAAGTACACTTTGCCTGAAGAGGGGGAGGGGTGTGGATATTTCCTGAACAGTAGTCCAGACCATCACAGTCATATTGGGCATATATTAAATAAATGCCTATATGATCTCATGTAAAATTTTTCATTTAAACATGTTATATATGCTTATTTTTATTTCTCTCATTACCTATAAAATATAGAGAATCTCATTATAATATAATTTGTTACTAAATAAGAACATGTCATATCCCTCCACAAATATGACAAGACTTGATATAACAAAACCAGTCCATTACTCTTGCCAGTCTGATCACTTTCCTTTTAAATGTCCCCATTCTGTGGGGGATGATTCTTTCCATTATCTTTGTATAGTTGAGAGTTCTTTCGACATCATTTCTCACTTTTACTTTGTAAAGAATGTTTAGATTCATGATTATCTCATGAGTCCTTTATACCAGGCACAAAGCAAAGCATTTTTATACACAGTCCATTATTATTACTAGCATCATCATTATCATCATCATTAATAATAACATTTAGAGCCATTAATAACATTGGCTTAATTCAGATGCACATAAAGAATTTTTTATAAGCTAATAGCAAAAATATAAACATGGAGATAATTCATAGAACAACCAAAATCTAGTAGACAAATATTTTAATTAATAATTTTTTCATTTTGGGACAAATCAATGTAGGCATAGAAATATTATTACTTTGCCAGGCCAGTGTGGCTCAGTGGTTGAGCATCAACCCATGCACCAAGAGACTGGTTCAATTCTGGGTCAGGGCACATGCCCAGGTTCTGGGCCCAATCCCCAGTGGGGGGCATGCAGAAGACAGCCTGTCGATGTTCTCTCTCATTGATGTTTCCATCTCTCTCTCCCTCTCCCTCTTCTCTCTCTAAAAATCAATAAAGGAAAAAAAAAAGAAATATGATTACTTCTATTTACTGGACTAATTTTACTAGTATGGATGATGTAGAAATTAAAAAAAAATCCTCACTGGAAAATATTTTTTCCATTGATTTTTAGAAGGAATGAAAAGGAGGGAGGGAAGGAGAGAGACAGAAACATAGATGTGAGAGAGGCACATTGATTGGTTGCCTCCTGCATGTGTCCCAACTGGTACCAGGGATTAAACCTGCAACCCAGGAATAGGCCCTTGACCATGAATTGAACTCATAAACCTTTGGTGCTAGGGCCAATGCTCCACTGAGAAACACTAGCCACTGAAGAACTAGCATTTAAAAAAATATGTTTTCGAACCGAAAAATGGCAGCGGAGTGAACGGAGCTACACAGACCGTCTCCCAGAACCAAACTGGAATTACAACTATAACACAGACAAATCGACGGGAAAAACCAACAGAAAAGCAGCTTGCGAGGACCATACAACGAGGGACACTGACTCCATCCCGGTAGGCTTGCGAAGGCGCGAGACGGGGCTGGGAGCCCACGGTTGGCAGCTCCGCAGCAGCCTTAGCTGGGAGCAGCGCCCTCGGGTTACACTTCCAGGCGGCTCCACAGCGCAGCCGGGACAGAGGCTGAAACAGCCACAGCCACTCACCTTGGGCTCTGGCAGAGGGAGGGCAGACTGGACTGGAGCTGTGACGGGACACTCGGGGTTTGGACGGCGCTCAGAGCTTTGGCTGAGTGCAGCCACTCAGGACGGTGGCCACATTGCTCCTTCCCAGGGCTCTGAGGAGAGGCAGCAGCCCTTCCCTCGGAGATCCAACCTCACTCTGTGGGCCATTGAAGTGTTAATTGAGGCTCACTAACAACCAGCACCTGCCCCACCCTCCTGAAAACCCCTTGGCTGAGCACCAGAGGGAGTTTTGCAATCAACTGACAACCCGAAACTCATCAATTAACCTAGACTGCTAACCTCCAGGCAAAAAGCTAGAGGATAACAGTACGTTTCCTGGGCTGGCAACTTTAACCAGGAAAGTAAGACTTGACAGTGGTGTTCAACGTGAGTCCTCCCTCGCTCATCTAAACACAGGAGAGGGAGCCACAAACAGCAGAACACAAACACCCACAGGGAGAACTTGACAGGCTCCAAAGCCCACAGTGATAGCCAAAATGGTGAAACACAGAAACAGAAGCCAAATGAAAGAGCAAGACACCTCTACCGAAGATGAGATCAATGTGGGCAATTAGGCATGTTAACAGAGCTAGAATTCAGAGCCATGATCTTGAGGAAGCTGAACAGCATGAGTAAGGACATAGAGACACTGAAAATAAGCCAATTGGAAATTAAAAACCAACAAGAAGAGATAAAAAATGACATATCAGAAATGAAAATCACATTGGAAGGTTTAAACAGCAGAGTAGGGGAAGCTGAGGACCGGATCAGTGAATTAGAAGACAGGGTAGAAAAAATCAACCAATCAGAAAAACAAAAGGAAAAAACAA